CATGAGGGTGCGCGAGGGCTCGAATCCCAAACGTTCTGAAATCTCTTTCGCCCAAGGCATGTTGACCTCTTGCTCGAGATCGTCGTTGGAAAGGGAGCGCAGGTGTGAGCTCAGCCTCGGGTAGTGATCCCGCGCCCAGGCCGCTAGCTCGGGACCCTTTAGCCCAGCCCCCGCTTCACGATTTACCTCCTGTGCTCGCCAGATGTCGTAGAAAGCGTGCTGCACCAAATGGAGATGATGCAAATTAGCCGTCAGCTCTTCATCGGCCGATGCTTCTTCCGAATCGAGCACGACTCGCCAGATTTCCGCGTCGGCCCATTCCATATGAAGATAAAGGTCTAATAAAAACGTTTTTAGGTCCATTGAGATTCCTCGGATTTTTGATGTCTCGGGCTCAAGGCACCTCGCTCGACCAAGATGTCGTGTCACCGGATTCGAAACCGTCGCTGAACAGCTCTGACGGCCCATCGAGTCGATAGACGGTGGAGCCGTTGGCGAGGTAGAGCTCGCCGTTTTGGTCTTCGCCAAAGGTGACGATATTGGTCAGGGAGATGTCCAGCTCTTCGGTGGTCCAAGGACCGCCGGAATTGTCGGCGGCCCACAGTCGGCCGCTGCACCAATCGCCGTAGAGGTAACGTCCGGTGAGCATGGAGATATTTGGCCCGCGGTAGACGTAACCGCCGGTGATAGAACAGTTACCGTCGACACCGGTGGCGTATTCCAGAATTGGAAGGGTGTAGCTCGGATCGTCGCAGGAAGCGGTTTGTGCTGGGCAGGATGGGTCGATGGGGTCGGGATCATGGCAGGTGGTGCCTTCCATGATCCTCCAACCGTAATTCTCTCCACCGGAGCTGGAGGCGGGTTGGAAATCGATCTCTTCACGGGTGTGCTGGCCGACGTCGGCGATGTAGAGATCACCGGTCAAGCGGTCGAAGGAGAAGCGCCAGGGTTGACGCAAGCCCAAGGCCCAGACCTCGGCAGGCGGCTCGCCCTTGCCGCCGAACGGGTTGTCTCCAGGAATGCCGTAGTGGGGCGGGGTAGAAACGTTTTGATCCACATCGATGCGCAACATTTTGCCCTGGAAACGATCACCGGTTTGGGAGTTGCAGTTGGTGTCGGTTTGGGGTCCGCCATCGCCGTAGCCAATGTAGAGATAGCCGTCGGGTCCGAATTGAATCTGACCCCCGCGATGGATGGTGGTGGTTTGAGCGACGGTGATCAGGATCACGCCACTGGCCGGATCCGCAACGTCGGGGTCCTTCGACACCGTGTAGCGGGCGACCACGGAAGCGTCGGAGGTGTCGGAGTAGTGGACGAAGAAGAAGCCGTTGGTGTCGTAGTCCGGGTGGAAGGCGATGCTTTTGATGCCGCCTTCGAATCCGCTGCCCATCAGGCCGCTGATGTCGAGGAAGGTCGTCAACGGAAGGCCGCCGTCGTAGATCAGGATCTCACCGTCCTGGGTGGCAATAAACAAACGGCTGTCCCCGGCATTGACGATGCTCACCGGGTTGCTGACGGACGCGATCGACGTCAGCTCAAGGCCAGAGGCACCCAAAGTGTGGGTTGGGCTGTGGGCCAGCGATGCAGAGC